TGTATTTCTCAAAATTATGAAGGCTTGATGATGTCTGTTCTTGAATTCTAAATGACTATCACTCTGATTCCATCACCCATCCATCAGAAATTCCCAGCTGACTTTTAAGAACTGTTTAATGTCCATCAATATGTGATTCAATTAAACGGGAAAAAAATGTAATGATGATTTTAACCACATGGGAACTGTTCATGAAAACTGAAATACTGTTATATTCCTCGAAATTAGTCTTTTGTTCCTGAACATGCTAAAGAAGAACAGATTATAAAACTCAGGTTCTGAGGAGAAGTGGAGAAGTCACCAAGATCCCACAGATGGTGTCCAAATAGACTCGGGAGAATATTTGGACTTTAAACGCAGGAAACCTTATGCTTAAGTCAAACTTATGAACTGAAGAATATATATCTGTCAGGAAAAAGAAAGTTGTGCGATATTATAGGTACCTATTTTTTCTGAAAAGCTGTTATTCAGTTTATGGTGTATTTAGCAACTTACGGTGTCTGCTGTCAAGGAAATGCAGCATGATCAACAAGAAAAGACATATGATGAGAGAAGAAAGAGATAAATCCCCATATCTCCTAATCTTAGCTCTAGAGGAGAGAATTTCTTCAGTTTATTTATTTATTTATTTATTTGCTTTTTTTTTAGTTTTGTTATTATTAATATAGTTCATCAAATCTGATAACTTTGCTGAAAAACACACAACGGTTTTAATAGTCACTAAGGAAGAAAACTTACCAATTAAACTGAAAAAAACGCCTCCCTATCAGATTTTTTTGTTTTATACTTATTGAAATTATTTTTAAAACTTATTTTTCCAGACTCCTATGTATCCAAAACAATGAAAATGTTAGCTAAAATGCTGGCATTTTAAGCATTGCTTCACATGCTTAATATGCAGTTAAGATACTACAAAAAAAAAAAAAATCTTCATAGAAAGAACCCAAAAGGCCTTTCAAGCTCGTCATGAGAACATCATACCTGGGTAATGTGGAAAACAACCAATAAGGATTGGAGAAAATCCCTCATGAGTCAGCATCAAAGACTGCAAGAGTGAGGGGCGGATGGGGTGCTTGCTTCACAAGCAGGAAGAGGCAGGGTTCATTGACACAAAAACTGTCCAGGGCCTCCACAGTCAGGAAATATCATTCATCCCCCCACCAGTCTGCGAGCTTAAGGACATTCAGACCTTCTCTCACAAAAGCCATCCCACAACCCGGAATATCAGACCTATGACAGTGATTTTACAAAAATAATATTTATTGAGTTTTGTGGTGTTTTCTTCTGGTTTTGAAAGGTATTCTTGTTTATTGTAAAGAATCCAGAAAAACAAAAACAAAACGTAAATTAAAAAATAAGTGTCCCAGAATTTCATCATTGATAGCAATTTGATATATATCTTTCCAGTCTTCTCCCTGAGTGTTAATTAGGATAATATTGATTACGCAATGCTGTTTGTTATCATTTTCACTTAATATTTCCCAAAGCCAATATATATTCTGAAAAAAATTCTAAGAAAAAAATTCAGCAGGAATCACTTTTATACACAAAGTCATTAATGATATGCCTTGAAATTAGTCTTTCTATGTTTTTCTAAATAGTCTATGTTTTTCCGTACTATTTTATTGAAAGGTAATACATACCTTGCATATACTGCGATAGAATACTCCGTTACTGACTATGGAATTTTCTTCCAAAGGACTGACACCAGTTGCTAAGTGTTGATATTGGTACTTCCTTGATATTTTCAGACAATATCAGGACACACATTCCTTTCTCAAATGTTCTAACTTGGTTTGCTATCTCCAATATCAAGGAGTTATTGATGTCCAGTCATGAATATATCAAATTTATACCCCCTATTCTGTTTCTGTGTTGCTGCACACACAGCAATTTTTCCTTCCAATACATAATCTTGGTGCAGTCTTTTTGAAAAAAAAAAAAAGTGTGAGAATTAAACTCAGCACTCGTAATAGCACACAACTCAATGGGCACGATAGCAATGTAAACAGCCAAGACAAGTTTGCACAGCCTGGGGAATGACAACGATATCATAGCTATCACCTGAGAAATTGTAATACAATGCCTTTAATGATAAGATGTGTCCTAATTTCAGTTTGTGAAAAATGCTGTCTTAAAAATAAATGATCGTCAATTTATAAGGAAATATAAAGGACTTGATGAATGAACACCACAGGGATCCAATTGGCAAAACCCAGACTACAGGAAATTGCAGGTCAAACAAGCTGGCTTCTTCAACAAGTAAATTGCAAGAGAGAAGAGAGAAACAATAGATTAAAAGAGACTTACCATATATTTTTAGAACATAATCAATTTCAATGCATTATTATATTCATCAGACAACTGAAAACTTGAACATTGGATATTTGAGAATATTTTATATATATTTGGTTATGTATTTTTTGAAGGAGCCCTTATCTTTTGGGCTGTATGTTGAAATATTTACAGAAGAAATGACATGAAATCTGGGATTTGTTAAAAAATAATGTTGGAGGGTAGAGATGAAGGGAGGCATGGCAGGCAGACTTCGGACGTGGCCTCCAAGGATTTCTGCCTCCTGGCATGTGATCCCCTCCCCTTGGGTGTGGGCTGGACCTAGTGACTTTTCTCTAAGGAACAGATATGGCAAGGATGATTGGGGTACCTCTTTCATTAGACTGAATCTTCCCTTCTTGCCCACTGCCCCTTGCCCCTTTCTTGCTGGCTCTCTGATGAAGTAAACTCCATATTGTGAGATGCTCTCTACAGAGCTGCCCACGTGAAAAGGAATAGAGGGAGGCCTAGAGCCAACAACTCATGAGGAACTAAATCAGGCCTGGGAAATGGATCCTTTCCAGTGGAGTCTTTTTTTTTTTTTTAGAAACAGGGTATCGCTATATTTCCCAGGCAGGTCTCGAACTCCTGGGCTCAAGCTATCCTCCCGCTCGGCCTCCCTAAGAGCTGGGATTACAGGCGTGAGCCACAGCACCTGGCTCCAGGTGAGTCTTGAGATATTGCAGCCTGTGAGAGACCCACAGCCAGAAGACCCGAATAAGCCCAAGGCAGAGAGCGAATCCACAGAAACTGTGAAATAATAGATGCATTTTGTTTTAAGTTGCTACAAAATGGGATGACTCATTTCAGCTAAATAATACAGTCTGAGACGAGGCCAGGGTTTGATGGCTATTGGGGCTGAGTGACAAGTATATGTTCATTTACTATTCTACTTTTGCATATGTTTGAAATTCTCCATGATAAAGAGTTGTTGAAAAGGAATCGTGAAATGTGGCATTAACAATTCACCATTCTATCTTCCACCATTTAATGGCAGTATAGTTTTTTTCCATATAGCTAAGTTTTGTCTGTCTCTTCTGTTTTGATGTGTTTTCTACTCTGATTTGACCAACTGAGCTCTGTTGAGTAGACACTCAGCAAATGACAGTATACGTTCGCTGAGTGTCTACTAACTACTAAGAAAGAAATGGCCTAATGCACAGATTAAAATAAAAACTAAGAGAAAAGGCTCTTCTACTTTTATATTCAATTTGGGGAACTGTAGCAGGATAAATGGAAATAAACAGAAGGGAGGATTTTAAAAATATATAAATAACGGAGGAAAGGAAGTCTGGCATTGGACTAAGAAAACACAGATGAAGGCAAATTTGTTAGTTCATTTTCCAGGCTGTGTATTAATCGGCAGCTCTGTTTCCATTTAGTTTTGTTTTGCTTAATCTTTTTGACTCTTGACCATGTCACTAGTTTTTAAACCTCCACCAGCAGAACAAGAGAGAAAAAAAATGTAATGCAGTAGTCAAATATTTCTCCTTGTCACCACATGTAGAAAATGTCAAAGATGATGGAAACAAATAGCAAAATTAAACACTGAGTTAATTAATGCAAAGTGAATATTGAGTGGGGATTTGGATTCCTAGTGAGCATGTAGCTTGCCGATACATTATAGGTCTAAGTTTATAAGGTCACGGCTCGTTAAAATTTAACAAGTGTTTTAGAAGAGATATAAAATGTTTTTTATCAAACCCACACGTAATTTTCTTATCTTCTTTTGACAGGGATAATTTTAAATTAGCTATTTGCCACTTTGTTCTCATAAAACGATTATAGGATGTGACTCATTGAGGCCTAAATTATGTGAAGGTGCTAGAAAGAAATCTGCTGAACGTCGGCTGTTGAGGACCAGTCACCGTTCAGACCCCGGGAGCAGGCGTCCTTCCACTGTGATTCAGTGCTGGACTTCAGCATCCAGGCTCTGGGTAAAACCACTGCCACCTACAAAGGGTCTAGCTTGGGAAAGCAGTTTAAATGCTCCAGACTTCAGTGTACTCGTCTGATAAGAAAGTATGGCCATAATATAGTTAACCTCTACATCTGTAGTAAGGAGCAAGTGAAATAACACCCATAGATGACTTAGCACACGGCTCAGTTGCTCAATAAATGAGAACTAATATTGTAGCTATTACCAAAACAGACGATCTTGCGTCCTTGGGCCCCCAAACTCATAAGCATTGGATGTATGAATGTGAATTGTGGTGTAGAGTGCAATAAACATCTTCCTCCTTTTCAGTTGATATTTTGATGTTAAAACAGGAGGTAAAGTTGGGAGGATGGGTTTGTGCATATAATTTGCTTCTTTATGATATTTTAATGTAATATCTTTCCAGGATCTTAGTATGCCTATAACTCAGTGGTTCTCCACTGGGGGCAATTTTGCCTCACAGTGGGCCCCAGGGGACATTTGGGATATTAAATTTGGGACATGTGGAGATATTTTAATGGTCATGACTGGTGAGGTGCCAAAGATCCTAAAATGCATAGGACTGCCCCCAATAACAAAGACTTATCTGATCCCAAATGTCAAGAGTGCCAAGGCTAAGAAATCCTGCCCTAGTTGCTACAGCCAAGGACAGAATTATTTTAGTTAGTTTTTAAATGTTCTGGGCAAGCATTTAACAACAGCTAAGACTGCTTTTAAACTCTCTTACTTTCAGCCAGTGGAATTACTCATGATCTTTTAATTACACTGACCAAGACTTCAGAGGGCCTCTTTCTGGTGCTGTTAGCCAAAGCAGACTTTACTGTGAGAAGAAACAGGGAAAGAATAGACATGCCATGAGTGAAGAAAAGCCTCTCATTATTCCTCAGCATTGTGGCCTGGGAAAACAGATGCATATTGCACCCTCTCTATAATAAACGTGTAGCATTTAACTACAAATGATGTGCTATTTTATACCTTCCAGTGCCTAGAACTTGTGGTCCACATGACCCAACACCACTGAAAATGAAGGGTGGGCAGGAGAAGGTAGGAATTGAGCGCCACTGAGATCTCTTCAGTAGCTCTGATCTTCCAGCCCATCTTCCTCTCCACTCCAACCAAAACACTTCTAACAGTCTTTATGGGTGTTTTTACACTAAAACCAACAACAGATCCCCACCACCATCAGCTTCCACAGCATTGCACAACACCTATTATTTGAAGAGCTTGAAACCAGAAGCCCTGTTTTTCCACACTGAAAATATTTGAATGGGCTGTCAAAAAGCCTCTCAGAAATACGCCCCATCCAACAGCAACAAACCCTGTGCAAACAAATCAAGTGGTGCAGAAATCCTTTGCACAAGATGATAGGGAGGCCTCCATGCTGACACTGTAGGCGAGCCAAGTTTTCATGTACTTGGATGGCTGACCTCCAACTTCTGACATATTCATTATATTCCAGCATGTCGGCTGCAGATTGCATTGAAGTGATGACAGCTACAAGACAGCCAACGAGGAATATGGCCATTCTGGCAACAGGTGGCCTTTCACTTGTACTGGGAAAGTTAATCTAGTTTATCATCAAAGTATATTGTGTTCAAGGAGTGTCATGTTTTGAGAGCTCTAGTGACAGGTCAAATAGAGAAAGCATTCTTCCGTGGAACGTGACATTTTGGGGAGACCAACCCTTTCAAACTATTTCATTGTTTATGCTTGATTCAAGTCTGTTAAGTTACTCAGTTGTTTCAAGGTTTACATTACAGGTTCTGAATTATGGTTTGTGTCTTCTGTCAAAGGCTGACAGAGGTATCCACAGTCTTACCTTAAATAATCAACTGCCTCTGCAGCAAGGAATTTTTAATGGCCCTAATTTGTCAGCAGAATAACACATTGAAGAAAAGCCCAGCAGCAAAAGTATATTCATATACATGCAAACTGACTATCACATTTCCAGTCAAATTTTCAAATTTTAGATGCTCAAAACTGGCTCTGCCTCCTGCCAATCAAAATACAATTTTAAAGTAATCGATGAAGGTTACATGGACCTAGAGGGTGGAATAATAGGCATTGGAGGCTTGGAAGAGTGAGATGGTGAGACGGTGGGGGTAAGGGATGAAATATTAGCATTGGGTACAATGTACACTATTCTGGCTAAAAGCCCAGACTTCACCACTATGCAATAGATCCATGTGACAAAACTGCACTTTTACTCCCTAAATCTATCATTAAAATAAACAAATAATAATCCATGAAGGTTCATAATGGAGGAACAGTGACCCCTGGACTGGACTGCCTTCTCTTTGGGTTTAACTTTAGAATATGGCAAGAAATCTCTTCACAACCTTGCCCACATCCCACTAAAGCCTGAAATAAATCATGCTAAATGGTAGTATTTATTCAGTCATCTCATTCCATGGCTACCTTCCAAGTAGGATGATTATGTTCTGCTGCACTTTGGACCTCATCTGAAGAACTCTTAAGATATCTAAAACATAGGGAAATAATCCAAAGGCTCATTTGCCTTGTGAAAAATAATTTTTCTTTGCTTGAAAGTCTTCTATTGTGTCATACTTTATGAAGAGTCTTAGGGTAGGAGGAATGGAATCGCATTGTTTATATTCTGATTTCTATGTGAACTCCTTTTTCCCCAGGGACAGTCCAAGACATTGACTCTCTAAAAGCAAATCCATATCTCTAATCCACAACTTCCTTTCTGTACTTCAAAGGTTGGCAATACTCCCATAAACATACAGAGAGAAGGCCACCTATTCATACTTCTCTCCTATTCTTGGGCTCTACTGAAGAATCTAAGAGGAGGCATCAGCTGACTCATCTCAGATGTTGATGATTCTGAAGCAGTAACCTCAAACCCTGCCAGTACTACAAGTGATTCCTTGGATATTGGTCAAGTTGAGGACCCTTCAGGCTAACAATCTCAGATTTTGCAGTTCTGCTGGTTACCGAACACTTCAGAGAAAAAGAAATATCGGCACATGTAAATAGATGGAGTGACATGATGTAGTTTATTTTGTAATCACACCATTCACTGTTTGTTTTAAAAATGTATCAAGCATTTCATTTCATTCAAACAATCACCCAGATAGCAATTAGTAGACGTTGTTCTCAGTACTATCTATTTATACATATATATATATGCGTATATATGTATTAATTCTCATAAAAATGTCATGAGATAACATTATTATTGTATCCTTTTTGCAAATGAGAACACTGAGGCACAAGAGGTTATGCCTTTCCAAGGCCACAGGATGAGTAAGTGGCAGGCCAAGTTTGAACCAACAGCCCTTACACCAGAGTCCACAATATTAACTATCGTGTTTCGCTATGTACACCCATAGCATAACAATAATATTAATAATATCTAAAATTAAATGATCCAGGCTAGCCACCATGCGTAGTATATTTTATCCTTACCACAATCCAATGAGGAAGGTATAATTATTATTCCATTTTATACGTGAGGATTAGGGAGAGATTCAATAATTTGTCCAAACATTCACAACCAGCAAATGGTGGAGCTCGGGCTGAATATTGTGGAGATAAAGAGATGAAACAAAAAAATTATTCTGTTTGAGTTTGTAATCGTTTATAAAAGGAGATATTTGTTGGTCTGGAAGCATTGGGAACATTTTTAGAAGTGTGGTTTTCACTATCCCTAGAAATGGAAAGTGAAACTGAAATTTTGCTTTTCTGGCCTTCCTCAGATATTATGTCTTATTCCTAAAGGATTTGGAGATTTAGTTGTTACTCTGCTAAGTTAATAAGACCCTGAATCTTTAAAAATATCCAAAGCTAATTTACTCATTATAGGAAACTCAAAAAATTGAATCCTTTCACAAAGGTAAAATTATATTTCCTTTAAGAAGTGTTTATCATTCCTTTTTTGAAAGGAAAATAATTAGATATGTAAGACATATACTTTAGAAAATACAATAAAAAATAAGTAATACTAGCAAATGTCATTATTTCATCAGGAAAAATATAAGCCTCTTAGAAAAAAAATAACACAAATTTTAAAATTATCAATAAAATATTAAGTGTAAAGGCTATACATACGCTTAACTATCAGCAAGCATTTAAAATTGTGTTTATGAAGATCTTTATAAACTTAGGGTAATATGCATTTATGTTAAAGAAAAAAGTAGCCTAAAGCTCTGTACACAGCGTATAATTAAATTCTTTTAAGAATCCATTCATTTAGTAATTTTTATGCATAGAAAGCTTCTGTGGGAACTGTTAACACCACGCACCAAAGGATACCCCTAAGTGTTAGAAGTGGAATACCCACTGAACAAAGGATACCCACCGACTTAGAAGAGTGCTTATTTTCTTCTTTATATTCTTTTTATTTTTCAATTTCTTACAACTACTTATTAGTTTTATAGTCAGAAAAAAAATAACCCTAATCAGAAAACTGTAGAATAAGTATTTCAATTGGCATAGGCCCTGATTCCAGGCTGTCTGCTTGAACGTTGCCCCTTCTCAGCCCAGGCCCTGGGAATACTGGAGACAGATTCCTAAACTGGACTGAAACTACCTAGAGAGGGATCAAACGCATGAAGCCAATCAATGGATGTTTCGAGGTCATATGTGGAAACACAATAGTATCTATCCTATGGGGTATGAAGAGGCAAGTCCAAAGCCAGGAAGATCAGAAGCAGAAGAGGAGAGCTGGAGCCAAGCTGGGTAAGTTCAGAAAGAGGACAAGGCATCACAGAAAGCTACAGGGCTTCACTTTGTGCATCGTTGGTGCACATTTCTAAAATGATCACAGTAGCTCAAGGGAGCTATGTAAGTAAGGACCAGCTCATGGCTAGTTTTCTAACACAACTACGTGTGCCAGTTACACACCAGGGAAGGATAAGTTCTTGACACCTAGAGCAGAATCACCCAAAGAGGCCTCTATTTTCTGCCATATCTTTGAATTCAGAACAGTTCTAGCATTCCAAGAACCATCCAGACACTCAAGCCTAAACCGAACAAGGTTGGCAGGTCCAACAACCATAGCTACTTTCAAAAAGGTAAAATGATGTGGATTTTAGGACAAGTTTAAAAAGAAAAAAAAAATTCTTAAGAGATTTACAGATTCTAAGAAATGAATCACCCTGAAGTGAATTGCCCAAGTTACAGGGATCTCTGAGACATTCCTGAAGAGAGCCAAAATTAGCCTTGTTCAAGGAAACTCCTAATCACGAACCAGCCGAGATGGAAAGCCTCTCCTACCCCCAGACATAACCAAAGACAGCGAGCTTGTTCAAATATAGCTACAGTCAGTGATATTTCATTTCACTAAAGTCCTTTTCTTTCTAGCCTGCTATCTTCCTTTTAATTATCCCTTGGTTCTCTTTTGTTGTTGATTTATTCCTTGATTTTGTTGTGGTTAAAGTATGTGGTCTGTAGAATACCAGCTCTTTGAAATTTGTTGAGTTTTGTTGTCTGGTCCAGTACCTGGACAGTTTTTGTAAATCTTGTATGCATGTTTAAAAAGGTACCTTGGCTTGCAGGAGTCTATATATCCATTAAATAAAACTTCTTAATGGCACTGTTTAAATCTTTTTTTTTTCCTTTTTTTTTTTTTTTTTTTGAGACGGAGTTTCGCTCTTGTTACCCAGGCTGGAGTGCAGTGTGTGCAATCTTGACTCACTGCAACCTCTGCCTCCCGGGTTCAAGTGATTCCTATGCCTTAGTCTCCCAAGTAGCTGGGACTACAGGCACACGCCACCCCACCCAGCTAATTTTCTTGGTATTATTAGTAGAGATGGGGTTTTACTATGTTGGACAGGCTGGTCTCGAACTCCTGAC